AAACACCCCCCCCCCCCCCCCCCCCCCGTCAAAAAAAAAAAGATAAATAAAAAATCCTTAATATGGCCTTATATCTTTGCATGGCCTAACTGGAAATATCTTTCCCATCTTCTGAGGATACAGTATGATTTTAATACTGTGAGAAGAAATTGTTCTAGGAAAGGAGACTTGTTTAGACTTAAGTTGGGGACTCTGTGGTATGAATGAGACATCTGGTGAATGTCCCCACATTTAAACACAATTGGATCTTAGAGCCTGCAGCTAAAGATAAGGCAGAAGAATTTACTAATTCTTTACATTTGGTGCATCCCTCTTTTTCTCTTGCTGGCCGAAACTCTTCTCAAAGGTGGCCCAGGAGACAAAAATACAGGCTATTGCAGTGTTGAAGGTGAGAAGTGTGGGTAACAGCGAGTGGGGAGAGAGTATGTTATTTTGCACACTCATATGTCATACTCATGGCCTTTACTTTGAGTTCTGCATGTAAATTTCCCCTTTTCCAATTTGCCTTTTTTGACTGTTTTCAGTGTGTCTTGCTTCTTCTAATTTAGTGATGAAAAACATACAGTATGTTTCCACACATTTTTCCCTCTAGGAATGTGGGTCTCATGGAGTACGGACTACTCATGGTGTAGTATATTTAATTCCTGTAATAGGATCGCATTTCTTTTTTTTTTTTCTTCTTCTTTTTTTGGAGAAGTTTTTGCTATAAGGGTGTGTGTGCTCGCCAGACAGAGAGAGAGAGAGAGAGAGACAGACAGAAAGTGAGAAATCACCCCCCAGGGGGAATGGCCACGCCGCAATCCCTTCTCCTCCATTCTCCTCTCGGGATCTTGGGCACGCATGCACCTGTGCCTGGTCCGGGACTCGAACTGCGGTCGACTACGTGGGAGTCCAGCGACATAGCCATTACGCTAACTGCTGGTCTCAATGAGATTGCATTTCTGTAAGATGATATTTTGAGTGTAGGCTTTCCATAAATAAAAATATCTTGAAAATATCTTCGAAAGCTTAAAATAAAAATATGTATTTTGAATGAAATGTTGTAAGAATTTAACCATACAAAACAAATGAGTACCCTTCTGGAAATAATCAGTAGTGGAATATGTGCTATTTCTTTGTTCATGGTTAGATTGCTGGGGATTAAAACACAGGTGATCCTATTTAGGCTGGTTAGATTAGTGATTTTAATATGAAACCATTGCTTTTAGAATAATCATGGGCCAGACTGGGAAGAAATCTGAGAAGGGACCAGTTTGTTGGCGGAAGCGTGTAAAATCAGAGTACATGCGACTGAGACAGCTCAAGCGGTTC